TTTTAAAAAGCATAGTAAAGAGTTTTGTATATTTGCATGTATTTTTATTGTGAATGATATATTTGTATTATGATATTTTCTAGCTGGTTATTGTATAAACAGAAATGTCATTTGATTTTAGAAAATTCAGTTAATTACCAAACATCTTACTACAATGTTATTTGCATATAGTTTTATTTAGTATCCTTCCTAAATAAATATTTTAATTGCCGTATTGTAAACTTACAGAAAAGTGAATGAACTATAATTATGGAACTGAATGAATATCTTAACCTCAGGGGTCTAGAACTAGAGACAGTGTCTGATATTAAAGTAATGACATTTATTTGAAAGGTAAGTCCAGGGCAGCAATGGTGGGGACATGTGGAAATTGAGGCAAGAGCAAATGTAAAACAATGTGTGGTGATTAAGATATGACAGTGCTGGTATTCACTACACAATGAGTTGAGAGAGACAGGGTGGTGGCCATCAGATACATGCACTTGGCTCCCAATACTTTTCCATAAGGGCTGCAAGGGGAAACTACAGCCGGCATTAGTCTGTGGAAGAGAAAGAGTAGGGAGAATGTATCTGTTCAGCTTTCATCTGTCTTCCATTTCCCCTGGCCCAGGGATTTCCTAAGGCAGAACTACCATCTCTGCTATTCTGCCTTCCATCATCCAGTCCCTGTGTTGTGGTTATGAAATTCAGACCTCATGCCCACTGTGTGGTGATCTGTTCAAGTCCAAAATGGAAGGATAATCTGGGTCAGGCGAAGTGTTGGCCAGGGGACTGGTAGACAGTTCACTCCTTGTGCCACTCAGATGTGCTCATGCCCTCCAGTCATGGCTGGCATATGACATATAAGCATATGACATGAGCAGTTGCACAAGGTCTTATGCTTAGAAGGGCTTGTGCTTAGACTCTCTGCTCGCATTAATGTTCTGCACCTGCTGTTTTGTTTTAGAGACAGAGGGCACTCCTTTGCTGAAGAGGTAATGGTCTTACGTTAATTCTCTAGGAGTTTGCTCTCCTCTCTCCTGTGGGCTTGACAGAGATATGCACAGAGTCCTATAACGCCCACTGTGCACGCCTCTAGCAGCTCTGAATTCTGCTGGATCATCTGGCACAATGGGCACAGCAGCTTGGGGCAGAGCCTGTATCTGTTGTAGAGCCCTTTTTTGTTCTGGGTTCCACCTGAGACTAGTAACCCTCAGGGAAGCTGTTAGTAAGTCAGAGCAGTATCCTCAAATGTGGCATATGTTGTCTCCCAAATTCAAATAGGCCCCCAAAACACTGTGCCTTTTCTTTAGTGATAGGAAGTATATATAGGGCAATATGCTATTCATTTTATTTTTTTATTGCATTTTAGGTTTGGGGGTACCTGTGAAGAACATGCAAGATTGTTGCATAGGTACACACATGGCAGTGTGATTTCCTCCCCATCACCTATATCTGGCATTTCTCCCCACGCTATCACTCCCCAACTCCCCACCGACAGACCCCAGTGTGTGATGCTTCCCTCCCTCTGTCCATGTGTTCTCACTGTTCAACAGCTGCCTATGAGTGAGGAGATGCGGTGTTTGATTTTCTGTTCTTGTGTCGGTTTGCTGAGAATGATGGACTGGACAGGGAAAATATGGCACACATACACCATGGACTACTATGCAGCCATAAAAATGATGAGTTCGTGGCCTTTGTAGGGACATGGATGAACCTGGAAGCAATTTACTTTAAAAAAGATGTCTTGACATGTGGACCAGGACCACTGCACCCCTAAAAACATCATCTGTTGTTTTAGGTTCCTGAATCAGCCGAGGTTTATCTCTTCTTCTGGTATTTTATTTCTGTTTGACGTTATAGTATTTTACTATAAGGAACTTCCTACTTTTTGCTTATGGGTACTACTTAATGTAATATTATTAATATATTGAATGATGTTTTGCAAAATGTCAACTAAACTGAAAGTAGATGTGACATAGCCCTGACACAAAACACTGAAGCAGTGGTATTGTTCTTACTATATTTACCAGAAGCTATGCTCTGCTCAGTGAATATGCCACATCCTGGAGAGCATTTGCAAGTGCAATTTAAGTTTATGGTAATCTGCAATTCATGGTATAATTTATCTGGTATTTGCAGAGACCAGATGGGTTAGCTCAATAGGGATATGAATAGGACTGCCACCCCCGACCCCCGTAACTTTTAAGTTTGTTGTGGTGTCAGTGATTGATTCTATTTCTTGAAGAATACAGTTATTAATTTTTCATCTTGGTCTTGCCATGAGTGATGAGTTTCAGAGGCTTCTGCTTGTTTCTCCTTACAAAAATGCCCCTAAGTATACAGGTCAGGAAACAATGTGAGAGTTCTGCCAGCTGCTGAATCTATCCATTTCAATTACACATTCAGAGAGAGGTGATAATGACAAACTCATTAGGTCCACCTTGGGATGGTCATGAGCCAAAGCTCTAGGTGGCATCTGACCAAAAACTCACTCTCCATCCCATGGACCAGAGTGTCTTTTTAGGTACCCAGATATTAGTGTTAGTTCAGGCCCCATACCTAAAACTCTCAGATAGTATGTTTGTTGTGTCTTTTCCTCTGGGTACTGTTAAATGGGAAATGGCTACAAGTGTTTGACTGAGCATCATATGAATACATCTTGGATGTTCTTGTGGTGAATTCTCAGTATCCTTTCTCAATGGAACTTAAGCTCCCCTTCCAATTACTGAACTCTGGTTCTCTGAATTGGCTCAGTTCTGAGAACTGATCACTGGGTTTATAGCTTTCTTCATTAAAATCTCTGTATTTCCCCAAACAGCTCAACTGAGCTTTATCCAGATACTGTATGCCTTATACACAGTAGGCGGAAGTCTTTTGTAGTTGGTGACAATTCAAAGGCTGACTTCAGGAATCAGCTTTCCAACTCTGCTTTTCTCTTGTTTTATAAGTGTTTATAAAAGTATAAAGCCTCTTCAACTGTTGGCTTATAAACCCATTTCAACATGGCTGTTGCTGTCAGCACTTCATTGAATCCAGTGTTTGCAAGATCACTAGTGAGTCTGTGTTACCAATTATTAGTCTTCATCTTGCATGCTCTATCAGCAGCATTGAACATCGTGGTTTGTACTTCTCTTAGTCTTCTTTCCCAACCTCATCTTTGTTACCTGAACATAGCCAGGCCAGGGTGACCTTCCTCTCTCTACAAGGATAGTATGTTTGTACTTCTAGCCTTAGGGATTTTTCCTTAATATTTGCCCATGCTAGCTGAGTTTGCCTTTTCAATAGTTCTCTTGACTAAATGTAAGGTAATTTTCAAGATATTTTAGTTTTATTTTATTTTATTTTTGCTCAGCATTGCTTCAGGGGACTGAAGGTGAAGGATCAGTTCTTCACAGTGGAATATCTTACATCTTTCTCTGTCATCTTTGAAGTTTATGATGCATATTTTTCTACTTTCTTTGGTAACTGTTGCTGAATTTGTTTCATTGGTGCTTTGCTCACTTTACTTACTTTTATAGCAATTGAAGAAGAATGATTGTGCCATGCTACTTAGTTCCCCATCTTGGCTAGACAGTATGTCATCCTTTGATTGGTGCCTGTAGTGAGGATCATGGAGCACACGTTGCTGGGAGAATGAGTGCATGTGGAAAAAACGTCAAGGTATTTAGTGCTGATGAACCAATGTGCCCTGCTGGGCAGGGGAGAGGCACAGAATAAGGATTCTTGCTTTGTGGACAAACTCATTCAAACACAGTGGCTGCTTTATGAGACAACAAATAGATTTCCACGTCTTCTCACATGTACAGAAAAAGTATTTCCAAAGTTTCCAAAATATTTACATTGAATACTATTTAATATAAACTTGCAAGTCTTTTAAAATGTGTTTAAAACTATCACAGTACTAAACATGAACTAGATGCATAATACATGTTGAAAATAAAAAGCCTGAATTATTAAAGTGAAAAGAGAAAAAGATTTGGATCCCAAATAAGCGTACGTGTTTGTGTACGTGTGTGTGTGCATGCACACATGTTTGGTGTGCTTATACTTGTAAAAAGTAAAATAATAGAAAAGTATTATTCTTGGTACCCAGCATTCTAGGAATAATGTCTTCCACAAAATTATTAGAAAGTTCCGCTACTTTTTAGAAGGCGCTTTGGATAATTATGAATAAGTCCCCTTTACAGACCTAACCTTTAAAAAACCATTGGATTTTTCATTATTTTCTTTATTTTTATTGTAAATTGACATATTTTAGTTACATATATTTATGGGGTATTAGGTGATGTTATGATTTATGAATGTGGAATAATTAAATGAAACTAATGAACATATTCAAATGATATATTAACAAATGATAGGTAACAAATACTTATCTTTTTTTATGGTCAGAACATTTGAAATTTACTCCTTCAGCAATTTTGTAATGTACAATACACTGCTATTAACCATATTCACAATGCTGTTCAATAGATCTCAAAAAAGCAAAACAAATTTTATTCCTCTTGTCTAAGGCTCTGTACTCGTTAATAATCATCTCCCCATTTGTCCCCACCCAAACTCGGAAGTATGTAAAAAATCTCAGTGCTTAGGATGTTCCATATACCAATTTTTGTAATCATACTTCTCTCTCCAAAATATGTAGATAAGACCAAAAAACAAAACAATGAAAATAAATGTCTTTATTTGCATGTTAGCAAAATGAGAATTCAGTGTTTCCTTTGCCACCAACTACAAACAAAAGACTTCAGCCTACTGTGTATAAGGCACACAGTATCTGGATGAAGCTCAGCTGAGCTGTTTGGGGAAATACAGAGATTTTCATGAAGAAAGTTATAAACAGAGTGATTAGCAAATCTTGGTGGTTGCTGGTTTAACAATATATACACGAGTTTTTTTTTTTTTTAAGGACTATATTATCGAATTTTCAAGAATCAGATATACAGTAGCATTTTAGATGAATCCATTAAGAAGTCTTCAGCAGTGATATTAGACATTGGAGTATTCTCTTACAGGCAATGAGTGATGTCATAAAGAGCACATTAACATTCATTTTCATTGTGGAATTTATAATTGGAAATTTAGGAAATGGTTTCATAGCACTGGTGAACTGTATCAATTGGGTCAAGAGAAGAAAGATCTCTTTAGCTGATCAGATTCTTACTGCTTTGGCAATCTCCAGAATTGGTCTGGTTTGATTAATATTTGTAAGTTGGTATGTATCTGTGCTTCACCCAGCTTTATTTTTGACTGAAAAAATGTTAAGAATATTTATTAATACCTGGACGGTGACCAATCATTTTAGTGTCTGGTTTGCTACAAGTCTCACTACTTGTTATTTTTTCAAGATAGCCAATTTTTCTAACTCGATTTTTCTCTACCTGAAGTGGCGAGTTAAAAAGGTGGTTTTAGTGCTGCTTCTTGTAACTTTGGTTCTTTTGTTTTCAAATATTGCACTGATAAACGTCCATGTAAATGCCAGGATCAATGAAGATAGAGAAAACAGGACTTGCAGTTCTGGTTCAATTAACTTTGCACGATTTTCCAGCCCTATTTTATTAATCAGCACTGTGTTCTTTTTGATACCCTTTACTTTGTCCCTGGCAAATGTTCTTCTGCTCATCTTCTCCTTGTGGAAACATCTCAAGAAGATGCACCACACTGTCAAACGATCCGGAGACGCCAGCACCGAGGCCCACAGAAAAGTCATACAAATTGTGATCACTTCCCTCCTACTCTACGCCATTTTCTCTGTGTCTTTTTTCATACCACTTTGGATCTCTGAATTGTTGGAAGAAAATCTAATTTTTATTTTTTGCCACGTATTGACAATATCTTATCCTTCAGGTCACTCATGTGTCCTGATTCTTGGAAACAAGTAGCTGAGACAGGCCTCTCTGTCAGCGCTGCGATGGCTGACGTGCAGGTTCAAAGATGGGGAGGCCTCAGGCCATAGAGAATTTAGGGAATCATCTTGAATATATTAGAAAGAAATAAGAAATTCTTATATGTTATATAAATTTATACTTCCTCAAGTTTCTTTCATTTTATATAACTTTGTGAATTTTACAAAGGTATGTTTGGAATTAACACCATTCAAACTATCACAAATTACAATATAAGAAAGTATGTATATTTACCATACATGAAAGAATGTGAATTCCATAAAGAGTTCTAATACAAACAGATAATACAAATTTTGTATCAATCATTAACCTTTTTTGAGATTTTTAAATGAGAAACCTATAATGTGTATTGTATGGATGTGACACAGTTATTAAAAACAGGGCTGCTTAAACCTACGTCTCAATCTGATAGATAAAGCACATAAAATAATATGAAATTTTAGTACCATATTAAATTTTCTTAATTTTTGTACAATATTTAGCACCTGATTAATGTGTATACAAAAAAGTAATTGGCTTTGTGTGTTGAATTAGAAGCCAGCTGTTTTACTAAACTATCATGTGCTTTGTTCATTCTCTTGTCTTTGCAGATAGAAAATTTTATCATCTGCATGTAGTGATTTATAATGATTATTTTACTTTTTCATTTTAGTACTTAGAATTCTTTTTTTTTGGTGTCTATTTCTATAATGAAATGCTTTGAACATTCAAAGTGTTAAGTAATTGAAGTGGTAACTGCTATCTTTGCAAATGGAGTGTTTTTTAGTGTTTTAACAATAAACATTATACTGACTTTAGCTTTTAGATAAATTCTTTTAAAAATAATCTTCAGAGAGAATCTTTGTCTTCTTCTTTTTCTCTGTGCGGTATTATAATAAAACCTCTGTTAAAAACATCGATTTTTTTTGCTGTTTATTAAGATGATCATATTTTCCCTTTCCTCTGGCCAATTAAAATACAATATTTGTTAATGGTGTACATAAAACAGTGATATGTCTTCCAGTTTATGCATTCTATATTTAATAAAATACAATATACATATTCGTACACACACATACACCCAGACAGAGAGAGACAGAGACAGAGACAGGAATAAAATTGTGACCTTAGAGGCAAATTGGAATTCAGAAAGTAATTCCAAGGTAATGAGAGGTAATCTCCAAAAGGAGAAAATAATCCCAATTTGAATAACATAAAAATCTCATCAAAAAATTGTATACCAGAAGACAATTGATTCATTTTACATGGGCTAAGGTATGTAACTATAACATGAATTCTTTGCTACAAATTTGTTCTGGGGTTTGAATTAAATAATATCATTCCCCGCTCCTCTTAAAAAAAGACGAGGGCTATTTACTAAACAGAAAGACTGTTATGGACTGACTTGTTTGTCTCCAAAATTCATGTGTTGAAGCCCATACTCTAGATGTGACTGTATTTGGAAATAAGGCCTTCAAGTAGGTATTTAAGTTTAAATTAGGTCATACAGTGAGGCCCTAATGCAACATGACTAGTGTCTTTATAAGAAGAGAAAGAAACGGGCATCTGTGGGCACAGAGAAAAGACAGTGATGTATGATTCCATTTATATACCATTCTAGAATTTGGAAATAAAGTGACAGAAAGCAGATCCATGGTTGCCTGGGAACTAGGGGTTTGATAAAGACTGGGCAGCGGTAAGCAGGAGGAATAACACAGGATCGTAAAGGAAACTTTTGGGGGTAATATATATCTTTGTTACCTGATTATGGTGATGATGGCTTCACGTGTGATGAGCAGGAAATTGTGCACTTTATATATGTACAACTTATTGCATGTCAAGTATACCTCAAGTGATGCATCACAAGCAGTTCAGGGGGAAAAACTGCAGACAAATATGAATTCTTAGAAACCTCCTCTTTGCAACTTGAGAAGAATCAAATCTCATTATTTCCTATTCTTATTTTTTGATCTTAGCCTGGGCCTTATGTTTACTGGAATGAAATATTTAGGAATTCTTGTTGTCTTATCTACCTTCATGGCTTGTCTTCCCCAATACTTAAGTTTTTAAGGGCACAGTGCTGCAGGGGTGTGTGTATTCGTGTGTGTGTGTGTGTGTGGTGGGGGATAGGAGAGCAATAACAGAGTGAGCTCCTCTGAGGTGAGTTCTACCTTTCCTGGGGCCTAGGTTCAGGCTCCTCATCATGAAAGTTCAGTTTTTGAGCCTACTCTACTACCCCATTTACATTATTGTGGGGGTTGGTGTATTCCTCAAATTCGGCTCAATATCCTGGAAGATGCCAAGTCTGTAATGCCCATCCTGCCTCTGCCTGGGTCATGTGTTGGGGCTCCTATCCTTCAAGTTTCCTATCCTTAAAATTTCTTATTTTTGCCTCCTTAACATCTCAATCTGGATCCCTCCAAATTCGGGAATAATATTGACAATTCTATAGGGCTTTGCTAATGTATTGCTTCTCTATTGCTGTAAAGATTTTCTTCGAGAAATAAGAATATATTGCAGTTTAAGTCCACCATGTTGTTTAGGAAACCTGTACTTACTTACTTTGGAGTAAGATTAAACAGCCATAGAGCAGACGTCGTTCAGCAGAGGTGTGGAGAAGCTGAATAAAACCCAAAGGCCTTTGATAACTATAGGAAAGTGAGTAACACCGAGTAGTGAAGAAGCACAAAATGAGGACTATTCATGCTCTGCCGATGGCCATCTGCATTCTCAATATTGTCCATATTTGGCTTTAACTAAGAGATTGCTTTGTGGAATTAATATTGAGTTCTATCAGTTTTCATAAGCCCTATAAATGGTTCTCAAAGTTTCCTGGATATTTTCACTTATGTATTAGAGAATATCAAGAATAATTATGTTTTAAGAATATTTTGATATCTAATTTTTTAAATGGCAGGAGAAGCTTAATAAATATAAATGAAGGAAGAAATAATTATTAGAAAATCAACGGTTTTGAATCCATATGATTTCTGGAGCTCTATATTCTTATTGCCAAAAAGAATGCAGTGACTTCTGGGCAATAATCCCACGAGGTTGTTCTGCAAGTTTTGTGTTTATGGGCACTTGCAAACAACTCATTGATAAATAAATGTAAATTATCAGCACTCAGCATTTAGGAGTTACAGCTTCTCTGGATTCATTTAGGAAACTTGAATGCCTTGAATTACAAGATCTTTGGATAAACTATGAAAATATCCCTTCAGTCTTCCCTCAGCATTCCTCAGTGGAGATGATTTTAGTGCTCACCACACTCCATCTACTAATTTAGATATTTATTAAATGTTAAAGTTCTATGCACTGAATTTTAATATCATTCATAACAATTAAAATTAATGAGCAAATTGTGTAGAGATTAGATAAAGCAAATGTGCAAAATGATGACAGAGAATTGTCGTTATTTGCCTGTTAACAAATGAAAATTCAGTTTTTTCTTTCATCATCAAGTGTGAGAAATTTCTCTTTACATGCACTATCTGGATCCGAGTGCAGCTAGCTGGCCAGGGCAAAATAATCTTTCTGTGAAAAAAGCTATGTGGCCATTCATTAGTACAGCTTAGTGCTTTCTGCTTTCATACTGAGCTTATGGTTTTTGTTTTTAAGGAGGAAATTAACTGTACATCCATAAGTATGTATGCCATGGACATGTGGTAGATCAAGGAATTGTCAGCATTGCAGTGAGGCATTGGAGCTCTTTCTTTGCAGCCATGCTAAATGCCTTACATAGTCTCTTCACTATAATAATAAATAGAGAATTCCTAATTGGAATTTTAGAGAATGGATTCATTATACTGGTGAACTGCATTGAGTGGCTCAATGTGCAGAAGGGCTCTTAGAATGCTCACTGCTTTGGCTATCTTCACAATTTGTCTGATTTTGGTAATAATGGTGAAAAGTTTTATATAGAAGAGCTGTACTTATCTTTACAGATGAGTACAAAGAAAGTTATGTTTGCTATTACTGGAACTGTGGCCGATCGTTTTAGCATCTGGCTTGCCAGAAGCCTCATCCTCTTATTTTCTCAAGATAGTCAATTTTTCAAATCCTGCATTTCTTCACTTGAGGCATAGAGTCGAAATTGTAATTCTGGTCCTACTGTTAGGTCCGTTAGTCTCATTCCATTTTAATCTTACCATGGCCAGCATGTATCTTAATATCTGGGTATATCCATGTGAAAGAAATATCACTTCAAATTCTGAAAGGAGTGACATTGTAAAGTTCATAAAACTGATTATATTTACCTTCTTACCCTTTTCTCTATCCTTAAATATTTTTCTCTTGTTAATCTCCCTATGGAAATATCTAAAAAATCTGAAGCTTAATGCAATGGAATTCAGAGATCCTAGAGTCAAGGCCAATATTCTTACATCGTGATTATATCTGTGATGTTTTCCTCTTATTATTTGCTATTTACTTTCTGGATCTTCTTGTAGCAATTTTCCACTCTGAGGTGATACACAGCAAACGGGCTCTTAGGCTTAGCCAGGCTATTGCAAATGCTTATGCTGGTTCTGGGACACAGTAGGCTACAAAAGGTAGCTCTCTTTCCGTGCTTTGTCAGGTTAGGTGTGGTTGAAAGCTGGGAGACCCTCACATTCGTAGGCCATTCTGGTGACTATCTCATGCAATCTGGAAAAAAAATGTTAAAAAAATTCTTGTTTGGCATTTTGTCCTCCTTTTCGGATTCTTCTACCATGTGTGATATTGAATAATTTTTAAATACTTATCATAAAAATGCTCTTATCTACAGCTATTAAATGTTATTGCATGTATATGTAGAATTTTTATACAACTGAAAAAATATTACATAGATTAATCCTGTTTTTGTAGCCTGATGAAGTAAAAGAAAGCCTGGACACAGAGTAGTTCAATAAATTTTTAATCAACTAACAATTGAATAAATGATTGAATTAACTCTATACAGGAGGACAGCAAGAGCAAACTTACTTCACTGAAACATGAAGCTTGCATGTCATAGATGCTTTCCAGACCTGGCTTATGTGTTTATATGTATACTTTCTGAATTCAAGAATTTCCAGCAGCCAGAGCTTCACCTGTGGTGAAGCTAATACGCC